CCAATTTTTCTCTTTTATCTATGCTGATTTTATTCTTGAAAAGAACATCAAGCCGTAATTCCATTAATACGCCTTGATTTCTCAACCAAGAATCCCAAACGATGCATGCAAGTATAAATATCCAGGTTAATCCTCAAATAAACAAGCATCTTTTGCAACCATCCCTACTAAAAGATCCTCTTCAAACACACCTTAAGCCAAAACACTCTAATGGCACATCACAGACTCAACCTAAATCTCTCCTTAGGCCCCCCAAATGCTCCTGATAAATTCATCAGTGACCTAGAGTCATGGATAATATACACCACTGACAAGGATTCTCTCGACCAAGAAAGAAAGAGAGTCCTAAAGTGGAGGTATTGGAGACACGCTCCAATCGACCAACTTCTTCTTATGGCACCCCTCATCCCAAAAGAAGAAGAATTTGCTCTCCAATGGTTGGGAGCAAGCTCCATAGAAGAAGCCCTTTCCCAGGAACTCATTGAGAAGGTCTACAACCAAAAATTAGACCAACTCAAAAGAAATCGAAGAAAAAGAAAACTGGATGAAGGAGAATCATCTAGGAGACAGAACTAATCTAGGTTTGAGCTGCTGCCAAAAAGGGGGAAAATAGAATCTAGCTTATCTTTGTTTTATGTATTCAGAATCTAGTTTTTGTTTTGGCATCATCAAAAAGGGGGAAATTGTTAGGCCCCTCAGACTTTGATGAAATATAGTTTTGATGATGCCATCCTCCCTTGATGTTTAAATTCTCTATTCGATATTTAATGATCATTGTGTGAACTGAAGTATGGTCCAAAAAGGAAGGAAGGTGACAAAATTAGGAATATATAAATTGTGTCACAAAATAAATATACTGGAAATATAAAATGCAATAAGGTAAATTCCTACCTTTCCAGGATATTCAAATCCAATCAGTATATTTATTTTTGGGTTACAATTTTATTATTGTCACTAGTAAAATTGTGACTAATCTTACATGTACATCTTATGTACAAAATTAATTTTACTGGAAATATAAAATGCAATAAGGTAAATTCTTCTTTACCTTAAAAAGGATATTTAAATCCTACCAGTACAAATTAATTTTGTACACAAGAACCAGAGTCACAAATTTTACTTAAAGAGCTGTATAATCACGAGACACTCCAGAGTTGCCTGTGAAGACAAAATCCCACTAGATGGTGAATAGTGCGTAAAAGAACCAAGGAATGGGTTTACATTTCCTGCAAAGCAAGTTGCTCCAATTGCGTCTGAAGATAAGCTGCTCCAACACAAGAAGACAAAAGTACAAGAAGCCTCAACGACATAGATTAAATCCTCTTAACCAACGGAGGAGATTAATCAACCAGAGATGCCTATAAATTCGGGCATAAGCATGAGAAGAAAAACAAGCTCCTGAGTTTACTAAGCAGAGAAATCATACTACACAAAGAAGATATCCAGCAAAAGAGAAAGTGTTCATTAAACTCTGCTCTCTGCTTAGACTCATGCTTCACTAAACCTTCTAGAACAGAAATCCTCATTGATACACTCAGAAAGTTTAGTTTTTAGTTGGAGGCTAGAAATTTGTTTCATATTGAAACTGTTGTAAACACTTATAAGGATAGCGTCATCTAAGTCCTTAAGTGTGGTAGAATAGGATAGAGTACCTTTTGATCCCCACTGGATCAATTGAGAAAAACCTAAAGGATTGAGTAGCTAGGAGTGGTGTGTACTCTCAGTGAAACATCTTGAAGTCTGAGCAAGTTGGTGATAACAGCCAGACGGTCACTAATTGTATTGGGCTGAATACTTTAGTGGAAATCCATCTGAAAGAGGATGGGACTGGATGTAGGAGGATTACACCACCTCTGAACCAGGATACATCTCGTGTCAATCTTATTTACTCTGATCCAAGTTCATCAGAGGACCTCATACCAGAGTCTCTGACTCGTGATCATCAGAGGACCTCACACAAGAGTCTCTGACTAAAGATCATCAGAGTACCTCACTCAAGAGTCTCTGATTCAAGATCATCAGAGGACCTCACACAAGGGTCTCTGATTCAAGTTCATCAGAGGACCTTATACAAGGGTCTCTGACTCTAAATCATCAGAGGACCTCACTCAAGGGTCTCTGACTCAAGGTTACCAGAGGACCTCACTCAAGGATCTCTGATTCAAGGCCATCAGAGGATCTCACTGAAAGATCTTCAAAGCAGAGTCTCCATTCTCCTATTCACTTCAGTCACTAAAGATAAGTTGTCCTAAATACAAATACCCCTTCCCTCTTATCCTCTCATAAGAAAGTTACCATTCACAGTCAAAAAGAGGTCATAACTTCCGCTGCGATCCTAAATATCTCAAAAGATTTTAGATCATCATACCTATGAGGGAAACTCTATAAGAATAGCAAAGATCTTTAAAAGTCTATTCACCCCCCCCCCTCTAGACTTTTACCTCTATCAGGGACCATCAAAGAGCATCTTAGCGAGTCCCGGTGGACGAAAGTCGCCGACTCGCCGCCGTGTCTACAGTCCCGAACGGCTGGATTTCTGCCTTCTTGGTAAGCCTTTTATGCCTTAACCTAATTGATTTTCAGATAATTTCATTTAAAATTGACTATTTGTTGAGTTGTATTGGTTTAATTCAAATAAAAAGTCAATTGTTGAAACTTTTATTTGTTGAATTGAATTACAGTGTTGCACTGTTGCTGTGTTGCCGTATAATGTTGCCGTATAATGCATTTGACAATTATATTGTGATAATCTCATAACCCTCATTTAAATGTTGATTATATTGTAAATTTATATATTAATATTGTGTATTTATTGATTTAGATAATGTTGTTAGTTTGTTATAATGTAATTTAAACAATTATCTCATATTATTTCAATTATAATTGGTCTAGGTTGTTTGCCAAACAATGGCTATGTTACGATATTATACACCGGAACCTAAACATCCGAGCATTGGTGGTTCTTCATCGAATAATTTAGTTTCTCCATCCGATAATGTCATTCCTAACGATGACACTAATGTAAAAAAGGCTCGAATAGAAGTTGAATTGTCTGATGATGACATTGTTGGTGATCCTGGATTGCGTAAACCGATTGACACTTTTAATGTTAATATTAGAGACGAGTTGAGGAGACGTTATTTGACAAAAGGCCCTTGCCAACCGCGTGAGTTTAAATTTCCACAAACTGATTTTGGTGGAAAAAACAGATCATTTCAAAAGCAGTGGTTTGATGAGTTTAATTGGTTGGAGTATAGTGTTGATAAGGATGCAGCATTTTGCCATTTGTGTTATTTGTTTGCTAGAAGACATAAAAATGGGGATGATGCTTTTACTGAAGTTGGGTTTAATAACTGGAGGAAAGCTAAGGAAAAATTCCGTGACCACGAAGGAACTCCAGATAGCACGCATCATTATGCAAAAATCAAATGGTCCGGGTTTAAAGACAAAAAACAAAATGTGGATTATGTATTGTCACAACAAACCAGGAAAGATGAGCTTGAGTACCGTGCTAGATTAACAACAATTGTTGATGTAGTTCGATTCCTTTTAGAGGAAAAATTCCGTGACCACGAAGGAACTCCAGATAACAACAAAATGTGGATTATGTATTGTCACCACATTATATTGTGATTGTGTCCTCTTTGAAGAATAATGGAATAATTGGTAGTTTTTTTGATCATCTTGGCATGATTGTAAATGTGGTGGGTGCGTCATGTAAAAGAAAAGATGATCTTTTACAAAAACATTATGAAGATGTTGTAGGCCGTATAGAACGTGGTGAGGTCAGTACGGGGAAGGGAAAAAAATCAAGAAATAAGTCTAGCACGACCCGGTGATACTCGTTGGGGCTCTCATTATAAAACAATCATTAGAGTTGTTGATATGTGGGATGCTGTGATTGAGGTGCTTGAAGCTATATTTGATGATGGTGTTGATCTCAAAAGCAAGTCCACTTCTTCTAGTTTAATTGAAAAAATGGCAACCTATGAGTTTGTGTTCATTGCTCATTTCATGTTGCAATTATTGGGGAAAACTAATGTGCTATCAAAGGAATTGCAACAAAAGAATCAAAACATAGGCAATGTTGTGGATCTTGTCAGGGCTGTGAAAACCGATTTGGAGCATTATAGGAATGATTATGGTTGGGATTTGTTGGTTGAAGAAGTGAGTACTTTTTGTTCAAAACATGATATTGATGTACCTAATATGGAGGATGTAAAGCCAGGTCGAGTGAAAAGGCAGAAGACGGTTGATGGTAGTCCGAAAACTTATTACCACTATTTTCATGTTGACATTTTTCTCGAGGTACTTTTAAGACTTTTATTTATTATTTAATTGTATTCAAATTTATTTGTTTTGTTATTGTAATTAATTATGTTTTTTAATATAATGCTAGGTTATTGATCGTCTTATTCAAGAGATGAGTAATCGATTTACCGAGTCAAGTTCGGAGCTATTAATGTGCATAGCATCGTTAAGTCCCAAAGACTCATTCTCCAATTTTGATGTGAAGCGACTTCTTCGTCTTGCTGAGTTATATCCAGATGACTTTAGTTCAAGAGATAGATTTGAACTAAGGCTATGTTTGCTATTGCTTAACTTTTAAAAAAGTGATTTTGTAAAGTGATTTTTGAAAAAATGATTAATGATAAAAGTTGGGAGTGTTTGGGAATAGAAGTGATTAAAGTGGAAAAGTTAAAGTTGAAATGTTTGGTAAAAAAGTGATTATGAAGTTATATTTTTTGAAATGTACAAAAATATCCTTCCCCTCATTAATCTCACCTTCCTCTCTCGATTGTTCTCCCGACAACCTAACCCTCCTCTCCTCTGCGCCTGCTCATACGCATTGTTCTTCCCCTCCAGAGCTCCTATATTCGAATTTTTTGATTAAGGTAAGAATCTAATATCTACAGTTCTAATGTACGTCTATTTGAACAACAAAAACCAAACCTAACTCTCTGCATACCCTTGATGTACTTTTGCTTCTATTTCAATCTCTCTTCTCCAAATCAGTTTGTAAAAAAATCAAAATAATTAGGTTTTGCTTCAATTTGTTCATTGCATCAATGGGAGGATACTGTTCGGCTGCTTTACTTTTCCACCAACGGTATATGACATGTACCGATTCCTTCAAATTATGCATTTTTTCCCCAAAGAGGTTTGTAATTAATACAATAGAAGTATTTTGCAGATAGAAGCATGCTGACCAAATTTGGGTATTTTGCAGATAGAAGCATGCTGGGGACGTGCGACGCAGAGACGGAGTTTTTCTGATAGTTATCGATGAGGCAGCTTTGGATATTGGGGATGGGGAAGGGTAAAGTTGGGTATCATGGGAAAATGGGATGGTATAACTATCCTCAAAGTTGTCTTTAATTACAATAAAACCAAAAAAGCAGATAGAAGCATGTTGGGAGCAGCTTCCAGCTTTTACCCGAAAATCACTTTTTTTGAAGCTAAAGCTTCCTTTTGCAAACACTCCAAATAGATTTTTTTTTTAAAAAAAGCCAAAAGTGCTTTTCAAAAGCAAAAGAAAACACTGCCTAAATGAACAACTTAGAGTGTTTATTACGTTTGTCAAATCATCTCCACAATTTTCAGGCCTACAAACTATTGGAGATTTGGCAAAAACATTGGTTCAAACAGAGTGGCACACAACTTATAAGTTAGTGTACCGACTCATTCAATTGGCATTGGTTTTACCTGTTACAACAGCCACAGTTGAAAGATCTTTCTCGACGATGAAGTTTATCAAGAATGATTTGCGCAACAGGATGGGAGAAGAATACTTGACAGATTGTCTGGTGTGTTACATTGAGAAAGATGTATTTGTTAAAATTGAGAATGAAGTCATTATGAGGCGATTTCAGAGTATGGCACCTCGAAGACAAAGATTGCCGCCTCTCAATGATTCTCCTTCATTTGACACGTTAGTGTCTAATCAAAATTAAGGTACTCTTTAAATAGTTATTTTATTTAAATTTTTATAGTTTTTTTTATTGCTATAAACGTGATGCATATGATTTTTTTAGAGTAGTATATGATTTCTTTGTTATTGTGCCCCTGCGAGTCACAAGTCCTGGTTCCGCCACTGCAATCATACATAAATGGTTGTCCCCCTATATTTTTTAAATGTATTGATATTTATTGCATACACATATACTTCGTATGTAGTATTAATTTTATTTCTTGTACGTGATCTGAAACTTAATACGTAGTACTATATATATATATGTTTTTGTTCTTTTTTTTTTAAATGATTAAATAATTTAAATGTTATAGGGGGTATATTATGAGTCATCTAACCACGGCCCAAGAAACTGTGGCTCCCTCACAAATGCAGCACAAACGATCAAGGCATGCATTATAATGGTCGAGTAAATTAAAACTTGAATATATTATCAATAACGTTATTACTACGTTAATGAGGATTTAACTTTAGCATGTTTGACCAAATAATATTGATTATCTAAAACAATTTGTGACTGAAGGAATAGTAAACACAATATATACGGAGTATTTTTATATATAGGTGCTAGCTATAATTCAAACTCTATTTATTATTATTACAATCATCACTAAGCTACTAGTAGTCAATACATACTAATGCTTCTGAGCTTCATACTACAAGCAGAATACAAAGTCTTAGTTATATACTAACTGTAACACCCACATTTTTCCCACCAAAATAAAATAACATTTGAAATGAAAACATATTTATTATAAAACATATTTAGAGTACAGCGGAAGTCTTTAATGGAAAAACAGGTGTGTCACCGCCACACTCAACCTATACACGATTGAGTGCACAGGCTATCCACCATAAATTCAAGTAGTCATCGGATAAAACTTAAAACAAGTTTATGGATTACAAATTTAAACAACAATAATTAATCAAACGTGTGCAACTAGCGGAACACTCGGGCAGCAAGTACATCAATCTTCATAATCACAATCATCTGTACAATAGAGCAAAGAGAAAAAGAGAGAAGAGACAAAAATTAGCTTTAGAGCTAAGTAAGATTCCACCCGAACCCATAAAATAATATAATTTGGAAAATAGGTTTTTGTATATGTATATATATCGAAAAGTGCTCTCTCATATTCCCAAAATGGTTTAATGTCTTAAAATAATTTCCACAATAGATAATATCATTCTTCAATTCCTCCAAAAGTAATACTTTAGATTCTTTTAAGAGTGGGCGAAACTCAAGATTCCTCGAGCCCAATGAGTCGTTGTTATATATGACTCATCCCGGAATTCCGGCTCCCACCGACCACCAATTGGAAGCTGAACTTCTACCTTAAGTGTGTACACCCTTTAAAAGGGATTCCAAGCCCTCCGAGTAGTAAGAAACCCAAGTAAGCAGGATGTTTTCTACCACCTACTCACAGGGGACATTGTCCAAGGGTAAATTAGGTAACTACTACTACGACCACCAAAGGACCTTCGGTCCTCAAATAAAAGCCCGGGATGTCTACCGGAGTATGTCATTGCCGGACTGGTTACCGTCCCAAATATATTTCACCAAAAGTGGTAGTAGCCCTAACCACCCACGCCTCGTGTTTCTCTCGAGACGTAAGAATATATATTATGAAAACTTTAAGTTTTCCCCAAATCATTCTTGTCACATTTTTTTTTCAAAATATCCTTTGTAATAAATATAAATCCACCAATATTCTTTAATAAAAAGAATATACATTTAATCATCCATAAAAGGTAATAATCCACCAATATTCATATAGTCGAAATATCCAACCCATGTCAAACATATAATTTCCAATTCATAAATAGTTCACATAGTTCAAATATTGCATACATATAAGTACGAGTCAAAACATTTTGGTTGACATAGAACTTACCTTAATTGGCGGTAAATCCTAACCGAAGCTTTGACTGTCTCCAAAATTCACCTTCTACAATATTAAAATTCTAGAATTAGCACGCAATCTTAATCTTATACTTTACTCAATTCCTACCAACGCTGAGATTAATTAGCCCATTAGTTCATTTTGATTGGTTTACTTATTCGAATCAGCCCACCTTATCATATATAGTCTATTATTCTATTTTATTTTTATCTGTGTATATCAATCAGGACTTACTGACTTAGAAGCTGTTCTCTTCACCTGATCTGAATGTTTCTGATCTGAATTTTTTAAGTTCTGATCTGATCTGATCTGAATCTTTCTGATCTGATCTGAATCTTTCTGATCTGATCTGAATGTTCCTGATCTGATCTGAATGTTCCTGATCTAATCTGAATGTTCCTGATCTGATCTGAATGTTTCTGATCTGATCTAAATCCTTCTGATCTGATCTGAATCTTTCTGATCTGATCTGATTTGAATATTTCTAAAATTATAATTACAATTATAATTACTATAATTATAAATGTAATTACACATATATAATTTAAATATAATTATAATTATAATCATGATTATAAAAATTATAATTATAATTACAAACATAATTATAATAGGTATAATTATTATTATACGTATTACACTAGTTATAAATATAGTAATAATTATAAATGTAATTATATTTATAGTTATATTTATTTCTATAATTATAATTTTAATTATAATTATAATATTTATTTCTATAATTTTAATTGTAATTACTCCGTATAATATGATAATAACGAAAACAAAACTAATAACAATACCAATAACAACAACAACCATATTAGTAGTAAGAATAATAATAATCTTGATAATAATAAATATCATAATAATAATAATAATAATGATAATAATAATAATAATAATAATAATAATAATAACAACAACTATAACTATAATAATAACAATAATAATAACAATAACAACAACAACAACAACAATAATAATAAGAATATAATAGAATTAATAATAGGGTTATTTATGTAATTATACATTAAACCTCTTTACTATAAATATATCTGCCAGGGCTCCTTAGAGAGCATCCTGTTTCATTATTTCACATGGTATCAAGAGCACATATCAAAACCTAAATTTTTTTTCCCGGTTCTTTTCTTCTCCTTCGGCGCTGCGTCATGTCTTCCGCCGCCTCATGCTCGGCCGCAGCGGTCTCCTCATCTACAACGACCTCCGAGATGGCAACCTCTGCCCCAGTCATCTCGTTCGCCGCGACCAGCACTCCTTCATCATCCGGCGCTCCTAACCTCTTTGGAACGCAGCCGATTAGTTGTTCCGTTACCTCCGGCGTGACCTTCACGTCACCAAGCCGCTCTCATGGAACGTTCTCTCTATTTCAGAATCTGCCGCCAACCTTTCCATGGACTGCACCGACTCCCGTTCAGCCAATTCCCTTGGATCCGCCACCCTTCTCGGCTGGACAGTTTGCCGGCCCCACGTTAGTCGGTTCCCCGGGGGTTTCGTCTACTATGTCTCCTCTTCGGCCTGCTGTGGGCAGTCAACCTGGGTCTTTTTTTTGGCAGACTTAGCCTCCACAATCTCTCATGTTGCTACTAATGTCACCAACATTGTTACTACCAAGCTTCTTGCGGTTGAAGATTATACCACTTGGAGGACTCAATTTGAGTCGTTTCTTGTATCGCAAGCCCTTCTTGGTATGGTGGATGGCTCCATTCATGTACCATCTCCTTATTCCATAGATTTTCTACACCGTCAAATCCCTAATCCCGAATTTTCAATTTGGTTGCGAATTGATCAAACCATTAGGTCTTGGTTATTTGCAACCCTGTCTCGTGATGTTCTGATTGATGTTCGGGATTTAAAGCACTCTTATCAAATTTGGGAACGGTTAGAATCTCGGTTTATGTCAGCCAGTTTAGCTCGATCTATGGAATTAAAGAGACTATTTTCTCAAGTTAAAAAGAAACCTGAACAGTCCATGGATAGTTATTTACGGGAGATAAAATCTTTAGTTGATGATCTTGCTACGATTAATGATCCCGTGTCCTCTCGTGATTTGCTCAAGACTACAATTATGGGGTTGGGACCTGAGTATGAATCTATGTTTACCACTGTCTCGTTGTTTCCCCAAAACTTTCCCTTTGAAACACTCCGGAATCATCTTCTTGAGCAAGAACAGCGGGTATTATATCTTCGCTCCCAGGAATCTTCGTCCGTGCATCAGGCCTTCGCCGCCTCCAGTCAGCCGTCTGGTCCGCACCAAGCCGTCCCACAGTCGGTTCAGCACCCAGGCGGACAGCAGCCGCAGCAGCCTCGCCATTCTGGACCACAGCAACCGCAACGTGGCCGGGGTCGTGGACGAGGTCGTGGCCGTGACGGTCGGGGTCGTGGCCGTGGGCAGCAGTATGGGCAGTTTGGATATCCGAATCAGTTTGGGTACCCACAACAGCAGCAAGGACAGTTCTATAACCCCGGTGGGGGTGGTCCGCAGGGACAGGCTTCGCATCCAGGGGGGTGTGCCGACCATAGGTACTGTTCTTAGTAATTCTGCCTTTTCAAATTTAAATATTAATGCCCCACCTGTTTCGGATGGGAGTATTCTTGGGTCTGTTCCCCACCCTGTTGTGTGTCAAATCTGTTTCTCTGCAGGTCATTCTGCCATTACTTGTCCATCTCGCTTTTCTCAGTCGTCTGCTCCGGCTTTGTTGACTACTCCTGTGGAATCCAATCCCACCTTATGGTACCCTGATTCGGGAGCTTCTGCTCACATGACTGGCTTTGAAGGTATTTTACTTAATAAATCTGTCTACAATGGCTATAATACAGTTAGTGTTGCTAATGGTGCCCATTTACCCATTTGTCACGTTGGTGATGTTGCATTACCTTCTTCTGGCCGGCCTCTTACATTAAAATCTGTTTATCATGTGCCTCAGTTAAAATATAATTTAATTTCTATTCAGCGTCTCTGCGCAGATAATAACTGTACTGTGATTTTTGACAAAAATTCTTTTTTAATTAAGGACAAGGGGTCGGGGGCGCTGCTTCTTCGAGCTACCAGTAGTGGACCACTCTATCCCATCACCATGCCATCACCGTCATCATTAGCTCTATCCTCTGTTTTAGCTTCTGACCCTGTGTGGCACCGTAGACTAGGTCATTGTGGAGATAATATTTTACAGTTTCTTAAACGCAAACAATTTTTATGTAGTCATTCTCCGTTTACACATCAGTGTGTGGCCTGTCGTTTAGGAAAATCTCAACGTTTGCCCTTTGTGGATGCTAGTCATTATTCTTCTTGCCC